CACATTTTGAATTCTAAGATTAGAATTTGGTCTAAAATCAGTTTTTGTTTCTTTCCTTTAAAACAAAAAGCCACACTGCTCAGTGAACGGATGCCCAAAACCTCATAATGTTTGCCCTAAAACAGGTACCATCAGAATAAGTGGACAGCTACATGGAGGGGGAAAGGAGATATGCAAAATAAGCACATGAAAATCCACTCACATATCATCAGATATGTCTGGAGAAGACCGGCATCTTGCTGTATAGTAGACATAAAAATGAATACTGTGCCCCCATGGCCTCCTGGAAATATGCAGGACAGAGAAAAAGTTAGACAACTAGTGAAATGCAGTAGTCTCTACCCTTATCATTTAACCATCTGTCCTTTCATTTTGGGAGAAAAGTGGATGTTAACTATACAGATACTTGACATTTAAAGAATTGTATCCAAAGAATAAGTTGTCACTGTGAAATATGTCCCTTGGGTAACTAGACGTGTGCTGAGGGAGATAGGACTGGTGAGCTAAGGGGACAGTAGTCCTCTTTTGTCCATAGTTTCAGTTACTTACAGTCACCTACAGTCCAAAATTATTAAATGGAAAATTGCATAAATAAACATCTTAAATTGCACACTCTTTCTGAGTAGCATGGTCAGATGTCACTCAGTTCACTCAGGACACAAATCATCCTTTTGTCTAGTGTATCCACATTATGTAGCTACTCATTCAGTAACTACCACAGTTTTCAGATCAACAGTCAAGATATCACAACGTTTGTTCAAATAACCGTGATTTTACCTTACAATGACCACAGAGTAAAAGAGTATTGATGCTGGCAGTTCAGCTATACCAAAGAGACACCATAAAGTCACCCTTTACATGAAAAGGTGAATGTGTATTATAGGTATGCAGTTATAAGAAAATATGTATATATTATATACATGTACTATGTATATGTATATATATATGTATACATATGATGATGTGCTAGTTGAGGCAATGAGGTCAGGAGCATGGTGGGGCTGGAGACAGTGGGTTCTGTGGGATAGGAACAATGTCTTTGCAATTAAATGGAAATTTTTTCCTTATGAAGTAAATAATGTGAGGCAAGCTAAGTGAATGTTTAGCAGTATTGGTAAATTTTACCTTTGCTCATATTTTAATCCATTGCCCAAAATAAGGTACAAATTAAAACCTTTTTTATCAGATCTTATTATCCCACTGACTGCTATTATTTTGTCAGAGATATGTTCCTACAAGGAAACTTAAGGACCTTTTCTCCAATATAAGGTACACATCATCCTTAGGAATCATAATCTTTAACTTTCTGCTCTAGTAATATGTAGATTATATTAGTAATTACCAGCTAAATTACAGATCACATTTGCATAATAGCTTATTCTGGGATATATAAAAAAGAATTCTTTAGGGCTAGAAGCATGGCTCAAGCAGTAGAGTTGCCTGGCAAATGTGAAGCCTTGAGTTCAAACCCCAGTACTAGAAAAAAAAAATGTTTGCCCAGATGTCTTCTCTCATCTCAGACTCCTAACAACTAAAACTCAGAGATAAATTGTATTTCTCAGAGTCAAGAATTCTGAAACTCAGCTTGATATTAGTCAGCGCTGTCTTTTACGAATATTTAAATACAAAGGGAGTTATGCTTTTTTCTGTATGTATTATTTCATTTAATCCTCATGCATGAACCATGGAAAGTTAATGTCTCCATTTCCCCAGTTTCTAAGATACAACAAGCCAAGATCTGATTGATTTCTAAAGTCCAAAGCTTGAAATTGCTGCAGTGTACTGAGCATATGACTTACCTAAGCTCACTGAGCCAGTAAAGTGATAGAAGAGGAAATGGAGATGTCTATTTGCTCTTAATTTTTCCATACAACCATTGTGCGAAATTGTAAGATAATGGATAGTGAACCATATAAAGCTATTTCACCTTATAAATTACATTTTATTTTATACATACATTTCATAAAATATTTCATACTTGAATTATATTACAAATGTACTAAACTAGTCCATGCATATAGTGCTTATGTTTTTAGAAATTCTTACGCACTTGAATGTTTTAAACTACTGTGTCATTTTTACATGAGTAGTAAAGTACTCATTCATATATTTAATAGGATTCTTTGGATAAAAAAATCACATGTAAATGCTTAGCTATAATTAAAGCAATATTAAGCAAGCAAGTTTGCATTGAAATGTGGATGTTCAGTTTAATACAGTAACTTTATATTGAGCACTTACTATGTAGGATACTTCAGTCTACAAAAATATAAGTAGATAATATCCCTCTCAGAAGGAATTTATAGTCGTCCTTCAGGGAATTATGTCTAATAAGTGTGAATGCTCTTGAAAGAGTTACTAGGATTCCTATTTGAGGATTGTGTTCAGTAAAACTAAATGATCTTGGAAGAGACTATTAGGTCTTCTACATATGATTTTTATTCATCATGAGGGAAGGTCATCAGAAGAGGGAGAAATGGATGGTTAAAGATTGATGTATGTACTTATAAAACTGTAGTACACAAAAAAATGTAAGAGTTATTATAAGCAAAAAATAAGTGCTTTGGAAGAGCCTGAGATGCAAGCTCTCATATATTGTAATAAAAGGGGAATTGGTAAAGGCCTCAAGACATAAGTGATGTTCAAGATGAGCTGTAATGGATGGCGAGACATCCAGAAGTGTGGGGGGGGGGGCAGACAGGATACTCACTCACAAAGCACACAGTGTAAGCAAAAGCAGAGACTAGCTTTTCTTATAGGTGATGATTATAGAATAATAAAAAGACATGAGGCTGAAAATGGGCATCTTGATGTAGGTTCCACATACTAGGCTGAGATCTTTGAGGGGAAAATACAAGAGTCAAAAAATACTGTGAAGAATGTACACAAATGAGAAAATTTGCATGGAAATATCCTAAAACAGTAAAGCTCAACAAGAGGAATCTTCATAGTTGTCGTTGTCATCATGTTGTAATATATGTGATAATGGTCTGTGAAAATTTTGGAGCACTGAAGTTTTTTTTGGTTAGCTCTGCACTTTAGGGGGGTTGAGCATGAATATCAACAAATTTGGCCTTGGGGAACATTGAAACTTAATAGCTTTTGGGCTTTTTTCAATGAAAGAGATAAGTTCACCTGTTGTGAGAATAAGAACCAAACTGAGGTTTAAGGAAAACCAGAAAACATGGGAATAATGCCTAAGGAACTTGGAGGGAGAAAGGCTAGAAGCAAGTGATGGATTGCCCTAGCCATCTTGAAGGCTCAAACTTTAGAAGTTTTCATTTCCACCATGGCACACTGCTGCCTTTTCCTTAGCAGGCCAGTTGTAAGATCAAAGAAGCCAGGGTGAGGGCTTGATCCAAAATTAGAAATTCTAGGAGGATTTTTAACGGACCTAAGAGTGATTCCTACTATGCAGGATGGTCTTGGAGAAGACCACTAACATGTCTATTAGGTGGTTAGTGTTGAGTGTTGAATTTCAAGAACAATTTAGAAGAAAAAAAAAATTTAGTGTACTGATTTTTAGGTGGGAGAAATAAGACTCAGAGATCCTGTAGAATGAGCCAGCTCAGAGTAGGGTGGGAATAGCTGAGATTCTCATTCTTCAAGACAAAAGTCTGAAGGTCAAGATATGATGCCAAAAAATTGAGGCAGAGATGGACTCAAAAGAACAGGTCAAGATGGTAACATGAAATCTTGAGGGGGTTTACCCAATTGCACTTAAATGCCAATAGGAGAATCTTGTAAAGGTAGGGAGAGCAGGAATGGACTCAGGAGGGAGCCATTAGACAGACTTAAGGGAGTGAGGTGGCCAGAGAGAAAGATGCAGCTTGTTTTTAATGAAGAAAGGGGCCAAGGGTCCAAAACCATATAATCCAATCTTCAAGTAGGTATGTGCATGAGGACAGCAAGCTAAGAGGAAGTAACATCTGCATTCTGTGGCAATTATTCATGATATTGGATTGAGGATGGATGGATAAGCGGGTAGATTGATGGGTAGGGTAGAGGTGAGGAAGGAAGGAAAATGGAGAAAGATTACAATTGTAACTGGGATAAGAGAAGAAATATTGATAATGATCACTACCAGAGCTGATACCATAACTTTCAAATTCAGTAGATACCCACCTGAGCACCTTGTTATAAATTGGTACAATCACAGGATCTGCTCGTGACAAATCTTCAGTTAGTGTTCATGCAGGGAATGAGCAGAGGTCAGGGATGGACCCTAATTGATACAAATATCAGGACACCATTTGTACCCTTAAGGATCATAGCTTAGTGCTTTCTTACAGTTTGTCTGTTGTTTCCCTCTTAGATATGCTCTATATTAAAAAAATTTTTAGCCTGTAAGTGTAAGTTATAAGGAGTCATTGGTCTAAGACATGTCCTTTTGAAAGTACTGTTATTTATGTTTTCATGAATGTTCTCTTTCATTTATTCCTGAGTAGCTGTAGGACACAGAGAAATAGTAAATTCATCTTTTGGGGATTTTTTGTGGTAGTCAAACACAAAATGAAGATATATAATGCATACTGATGACAGAAATATAAAATAATTTGTACAAAGTTAACATGGACATACTTGGGGTTGTATGTGCAAGTCTGATGTCTAATCATGAGTAATTATTTTGTGTTTATCTATTTTGGCTTCTAAGGATCACACAGTCTAAATTGTGTAAGCCAAAGAATGATTGCAAAGGAAGCTACAGAGTGGCTGGTTAAGAGTAGGGTAGCCTTAGGGACACATCAGACAGTCCACAGGGAGGAAAAGAAAAATCACTTCAAGTGTTTGTAATTAATGAGTAACTTCCTCTATAAAAGATTTGGGGCCACTTAACAGCAAACACACATATCCTAGCCAGTAATTTAAATGAAAGAGAAAAGTCAGAAACCATGTGGAAGAGGAGAAATGGGAGAACCAAGTTGTAGAAAGCTTTACATGCTGCTGACTTTGAATACTCCCTGTATCACAATACTGTTTGTTTTTGTCCCCCTTTTTAGGAAATGACCTGGCTTCCACCACTTTCTGCTATTCAAACACCTGGCAAAGTGGAACCAAGCAAATTTCCATTTCCAAACAAGGTGAGCTCTTTCTTGCATCACACAGGGGATGTACTATGCTCTTGTAACCATTTGTAGTGGACAGGGGGTTGATCATTTTTCTTTTCCCATGTAAATATTCTTGCCACAGGCATATGAATCTGACCTTAAACTATGCACATGTTTATTAATCTGTGCACAAAAGGGAAGAATCAGGCCAGGTGAGGTGGCTCAAGCCTGTTATCCTATCTACTTGAGAGGCAGAGATTGGGAGGGTCATGGCTGAGGCCAACCCCAGCAGAAAGTTTTCATGAGATCCCGCCTCAACCAATAGCTGGGCACAGTGGTGTGTGCCTGTCATCCCAACTATGCTGAGGATTAAGGTCCAGGCCAACCTAGGTATAAAGCAAAATCTTATCTCAAAAATGCCCAATGCAAAGAGGACTGTGGGGTTGAGTGCCTGCCTAGCAAGAGTGAGGCCAGTGTAGTTCAACCTCCCCACCTAAAAGAGAAAAAGAAGAAAGAGAATTAAGCTGATAATCTTACTTATGTATACTTCAATATTCTGTAAAATGTGACACTTGTTATAATTGTCATTTTGTCTAAAAACATTTGTGAGGTTGAAATACATCTTACAATCAATTTATATATTCAGTGGTATTTCATGTCCTGCTTATTTTTCCTGAAAAACTGTTATTATATTGTTGTTATTAATGATGTACCTTAAGGTGAATGTCTGAGAATTGAAGATAAAAGGTATTTAACTTCTCTTGGATATCTTTTTTTTAAAGCTTAAAATATTTTCTAAGACTTAAAAATTATTTTTATGCTTCCTAAGGAAAAGCACAGAAAACTCAGCCACAAAATATATTTAGATTATACATGTTCTTTGATTTTTTTTTAATCAAATAACTGACATATAACCATACACTCATTATCAAAGATCAGATTATAAGTGGAAAGAAAGAAAAATATGAAAATCCCTGCCACCCCTAGCCAGAGTCTTATTTCCTGAACTCAGAGATTACAATCAAGAATTTGGTGTGTACCATGTTAGCAATTGTTTCTGTGAGTTACTTTCCCATACATTCACCTGCAGTTTTCAAAACTCTTAAATTGTATCGTACTAAAGCGTTTTTTCAAGAGTTGAGTGTTTTCTGCTAGCCACAATATGTAAATATTATTGCTGAATATCAGTATCACAGCCTTCTAAAGTGAATGATTTGATATAATTGTGCATTGCTGTTATCACAGTGGTGAATTCCATTCTAAGAGTTGATTTTTATTTGCTTTAACCAAGTGTACTTGGAGATCTTTCCAAGTGAACCTGTAGAGATTTTCTTTGTCCTTCTAAAGAGCAGCATGATATTGTGTAGTATGGATTCGTTAAAATGTAGTTGCTCAAGCTTCTTTTGATGGATAGTAAGAGTGCTCATGTTCTGTTGTTTCAACTACTGTTACCACAAGCACATTTTGTGAATGTCTCTTTCTATGCCCAGTGAAGGACACCTAGAGCAAGAATTATGGCCATCAGAAACCACACTTACATTTGGCTGTGTTTCAGGAGTTTTTTTTTTAATGTATCTTAGCCAATGATTAATATTATCTAGGCTTTTATCATTGTGTCTGTATGATGAATGAAAAGTTGTTATCTCATTGGTCTAATTTGCATTTCCCCAATTACTTCTAAACTTGAGCAGTGACTGTTTTTCCTTTGCAAATTGCCCATTCATATCCATTGCCACTTCATAAAAATGATTTGTAGGAACTCCTTATGTCTTATTCATTTGTCTATTATATATAATAGAACCATTTTGTAACCTTATTTATGTGTCTTTTATACCAGAAAAGTATTTAATTTTCAGGTCAGAGAAAAAAAATCTTCCCTGCTCCAATAATCTAACAATGGCCTCTGTATTGTTCTAATTCTTTTGTATTTTTTAAGTTTAAAAAGGTATGCAAATGGTGTGACAAGACTCTAGCTTTTGTCTTTTTAGTGCTTAGTAAATTATTGTAACAATACTAACATATTAGCCCATTTTTCTCCCACTAGTTTGAAATGCCCCCTATGTCAATAGTTGAATTTCTCATAAACATATGGATTTGTTTCAGGATTCTCTATTCCATTTTTTCCAATATATTTATCTAATTCTTTCCCAAAAATTATTATTTAAATTAGAGACCAACTAATCTGGGCATAGTGATACATGTCTGTAGTCCCAGCTACTCAGGAGGCTGGAAGATCCCTTGATCCCAGCAGTTTGAGACTAAGCTGGGCATCATAGTAAGACCCCATCTCAAAAAAATTAAAAGGTCCTGGAAGAGTGACTCAAGTGGTGGAGTGCCTGCCTAGCAAGTGTGAGGCCCTGAGTTCAAACACTGGTGCCACCAAACCCCCAAAAAAAGAAATTAAAAAAATATATATATCAGAGTTTGGCAGACTTTTTCAGTAAAGGATCAGATAGTAAATAATTTAGGCTTTGCTGATGACACTTAATGAATGAAATGACATCTCATTGGTGGAATCTAAATGGAACCTATCTGAAGTTCCCAGGCTTCTAGCCCTTTGAATAAAGGCAAAATTAACTGAATAGTTTCTGCAGTATGTATTTCCTATGACATGCTGCCACAGTTAAATAGAACAAAGAATCCTTATAGTCTTTGCACATAATTTGACCAAATAGTGGCTGATAGCTGCCCAAAATATAATCAAATAAGCATTTTTATTAAGTATACATATCCATGGTATAAGTATTGATGTAATTGGGTATATCCCAAAGCATATTTTGTTGTGACTTTTGCAATATTAGTCTTATTTTGGTTCATGTAAATACCTAAGCAAAAGCAATAACTTAACTCCTGATGTGAAACTGAGATTTTTACATCATTAGGACATGATGGTTCACACCTGTAATCTCAGCACTTGGGAGGTGGAGGCAGGAGGATCTTAAGTTCAAGACCAGCCTAGGCTACATTGTGAGTTTCAGGCCAATGTGAGCTACAGAGCAAGCCACTGTCTCAAAAGAAAAAGAAAGAAAAGAAAAATTCATTAGTGCATAAATTTCATTTTGATTGCTTTATTGAATTATAATTGGCAAGTAAAAATTATCAATGTATTTAAGGTAAACAATATGATGTTTCAGTATCCCACATATATTATGAAATAATCATCACAATCAAACTAGTTAATATATTCATTACCTCACATAGTTCCCTTTTCTTTCTTTTTATATGAAGCATTAGTCTCCTAGCAAATTTCTAAAGATCTTTCCTTTTTGGAAAATTTCAAGTATACAACACAATACAATATTGTTAACTTTACTCACGTATCTGATGTCATGCTGTGTATCATTCATATATCATGTTAAATATTCACACATATGGCATCCATGTATATATGTCACTTAAATGATGCACATATATGATATATGTAATATGTGTGTTGTACATATCTATCTCATATGCACATGTATCTTATTTTCCACTCAAAAAGATACATTATCTATCACATATGGCACAGAATTTCAAATAGCAATGAAAGTGGGTCCTATTTAGGACTACTCTAGAATTTTCATGGAACTATTTATCTTGTACAAATGAAACACAACTTGATTATTTTCCTATTGCTGCTGTAAAAATTAGCACACACTTAGTGACTAGAGACAACACATACTTCCTTTCTTACCACTCTGGAGGTCAGAAGTCTGAAATTAGGTTCACTGAGTAAAATCAGGGTGTGGGCAGCGCTGCATTCCTTATGGAGACTCCAGGGGAGTCTTTCCCAGCTTCTGGAGGCTTCTTTACTCTGGGCTCATGTCACTCTGCCCTCTACTTCCCTTACCAGTCTTTGACTTTCTAGCCTTCTTTCCCTTGTAAGGATTATATTGAGCCTACCTGAATAATTTCCTACTTCAAAATCATGAAGTGAATTACACCTGCAAAGACCCTTTTTCCATATTCACAGCTTCTGAAAATTAGGGCACAGATATCTTTGGGGGTGCCAGTATTCTGCCTATTACAAAGACAGTTATTAGTTTTCACATAGAGCACACCTCGTGTGTGTGTGTGTGTGTGTGGTGTTTCTGGAAATGAAAACCAAGGCCTCTCATGGTAAGCAAGTGCTGTACAACCCCAGCCATAAAGTGCACCTCTTTTAACCTTTATATCAACAAAGTAGTAGGCCCATCACTGGACACTACCATTGATTAATTAGATTATTAATGTATGAGGTTATCGCTGTTGCTAATGTATTGAGATAGGATTGTTTCTGGAATTTGAGGGACAAAAATCTCCAAAATGACTAGTAAACAATGAAATTAGGGTGTTATTAAGATTAAGGGGACCATTTCATCTCACAAGGTAAAGTCAGTTTTACTGTACATTCTGAGTTTCCAGTGATACTAAATTAATTAGCTAAATACTTCCTCATTTTGTCTCAGTATTAAAGGACATAATACATAGTAAAGTCAATTAATAATGAACTTAACTATTTTTTTCCTGTTTTCTGAGGACATGATTTGGAGTGACGATTCTTTAGACAAACAGTACCATGCATTGCGGCCTCATTCTTCAAATCTCAAAAGTAATTGGATTTGGTTAAGAAAACAATGTATGACTCCTTTAAATTGGCTGCCATTACCAGGTATTCCAACCAAGAGGGAAGAAAATGAGTTCCCTCTGCCCTTTTCCCTTTCATTTTGCAGCAATCTCATAAATTTTGAAATGCAAATAAAGAACTCAAAAGTATAGAATGTTTTCCATTCTCAAGCAGGGATATGTCCAAACCCATGGGTATCTCATAAACACTTCACATGACCATGAATGCTGAATCTGGTGGCATTAGATCTAGTCTGAAAGTTCTGACTGAGTGGTCTTTAAGTCTTACACAGAAGAATCCTAACATCGTTATAGAAATGAGACTCCTGCTGCCTTTCTCTTTATATGCTGGAGTGAGGATGAAAGCCAGCAAATGTAAAAGGAAGTACTTTGGGCTTGGAAAGTTTATTATCTATCTCCTTCCTTGGGTTGCTAGCATGCTTCAA